ACCTGTCTATCCATAAGTATATATATTTTGACTTTGAAAATGACAGAAAAAATGTGTTTAAATAAGGGCTGGAGAGTTGAATGTTTCTATTAAATTTCAGGGCCAGTCCAAGTTCCCTGAAGTAGCTTTTCTAACACCTACAATTTGTAGAGCTTTTCCACTAGAGAATACAGCCTAATACACAGGTTTTCTTACTTTCAAAAGGTTTTGGGCTTAAAATCCATTGCCTTTACATTCAAATTCTATAGTTTACATTTCTTCTTTAAATTGCAAGCTAAGTTTTGCCACTCTATTATATTTCTAAATAAATTACTCTACTCAAAAAATAAAATAAAATAAACCTTCATAAGTACAAAAGAAGGTAAATGGGGGAAAGGTCAATCACAAGTGTGATAACTTCAAAATGTGCCAAGTTACAAAGGGTTAGCTACTGTGACAGCCAAGTTAAACAAGGCACTTCTGGGGCTCTCTTTCTCCCTGGTTCCCACCACTCCTCTCCAGAGGTCCCTGGTATGGGTTTATGAACACCTGAGGGTTCAGATATCCTAATTGTGTCTTGTGTTTAACTTGGCTATTTAAATGACTAAGTGCTCCCCTCTCTCCTTCCCAGCTTTATAACTTGGCTCTTACTGAATATATCACACCTTTATATAGTGGACCACTTTTTCCTTTTTACAGTGCTTTTTGGAGGAAATTTCAAAAAAAATTGTTTGTTATTAGGTAAAATGGCCGAGAAACTTCCATCAGAGAGGCACCACAAGAAAGAGAATAAATAGCCAGCAAGAAAAATAGAAATAGGTCACAATTGACCAATTTGATGCAACTGATTTGCTGCCTCTAAAAATAAGCTGACAGCAGAACTATTTTGAGTCAGGTAATCTACTCAAGTACCATGTCTACTCTCAGGAATTGAGACAAATATCCAAATAATATAAATGGGGCAGAAAGAGTGACTCATTTAATTGTCTGTCCATCCATCCCTCTAAATACTGGCTTTAATTCTCCATTTCATTAAACAGAAGGTGTTATCCTGAAGATTCGTACCACAAGGACAGAGTAAGTTTCTCGACTTTGTATGTGGGCTGATAGAATTTTGATGCTAGGGCTTTGAGAGGCAGGAGGGGTAAAGGAGTTCCATGTTTCAAAATACATTTCCAGCTTTTGCAAATAGAAAAGTGCATCTTTTCGGTGTTTAACAGGTTTAATGCACTTCAGAAGAGGTAAGTAGACCAACCAGGGCCCGCTCCACTGAAGCCAGAAATACGGTACCTACTCTCAGGAGGTGGGTTCTTAGGACAGTTACCCTAAAGTTTCCTACAAACAAAAAACCCAGCATACTTTTTCAAGTAAACATAATTATTTCTTCAGAGTACTAAATTATGAGAATTCACACACTAAATTCAACTGTTAATAGCAATGTCCTGGTAGTCTGTATTTTTAAGCATTTGGTTGAAAATAAAAACTCCAAACCTAACTGACATTGTGTCTTAATGTTTTTATCTGCCTTAGGTAAATGACTTTCCTGAGACGTAAGTTTCAAATTATGATATCAAATTGACAGTCATGTCAGCAATATCTTTTAAATCTTGTTGGTTAAAGTACTAGTATGTATGTAAGAGAGAAGTTGGAAATTGAGTGCAGAACTTCACGTTTTATTTAGAAGGGCCTATTGCATTTTCAAGGTTTCCAATGCCTCCTTCAAGTTGGTTATAAAGTAATCTACATGGCTTTGAAATACTGTCACTCATCTAATAAAATCAGACTTTTTATCTTTTAATTGCAAACCTATTAATCAGTTATTCATAAATGAAGAAACACAACAGGACTGCCTTTCTATACCTGCTGATAGCAAAGTGTTGTTCACTGCATATTACTACTAATATTATACCAGAACACAGGTCGTAATAACACCTCCCTAGCTTTTCTATGATCCAAGTGTGACCTTCTGAGTGGTATAATGGACAATCCGCATACTCAGAACACTCCTACAACACATTTTGAAAAATTGGAGATCCTTCCAAGAAGACATAGGGAAATCAAAATACTGAAGAGAAGGCTAGGTATTTAACAAGAGCCACCCAGAATGCCCTTTCTGTTCTTCAAAACCGCTACTAATATCAAAATGATTCGTTTGGTATAGCTCATGTACATATGAATTTTTCAAGGTATATCCTGAAGAAAAACAATCCGCTCTTCAGTGAGGACTGTACTATTTTTATTCCTGTCTTCAGCTTCTCATCCCCCAAAGCCCAGCCAGCCCACCTGAGGCCATTCGCTCTTTTGGGAGTTGTCCAAGTAGCTGATAGGAGAGAACAGCACTGTGTTCCGCGCCCACACAGAATCTGGAAGCTAAATCTTTGTTTTTAATGTAAATAGTTTATTTAGAATTTGGTAGTTGAAACAGATGCTGTGTCTTTGTGGGGAAGGTATTTGGATAATTTTGCAACATGACAATAAAACAAAAGAATAAAATGTCCTCTTTACTCATTCTTCATTTGCCATTTTTTGCTTGTTAACCTAAGAACTGCACAGGTATTTTGCAGTTCGACTTATCAAGCCTACCCAGCGAATACTGTCAACTGACGGATTCCCTTAACTGCCCATAAAATCCTACGCGCATGAGAAGAAATCCTCTTCAGGAAGCACAGGGAACAAACGCATTCAGTCAACCGAACTTTCGCTGTAAATTCACTCCAAAGGCAGGTGAACCAAATGCTCAGAAGCTGCGAGTGAGCAAAACTGCCAATCGTACAAACTTTAATAAACTTTTTTCTTTTTTTTTTCTTTTTTGGAAAAGAAAAAGCCCTCCCAAATTCCTGCACGGGGTTTCAGAAGCTTCTTGGAGCCCTTTCCACCGGACAGGCACCAACCGTTATCCTAATTCAACTCGGAAAGTTCTTCTTTCCAAGTGACTAGGAAGAGGTTTGTCCTGGTACTCTGCTCAGCGTTACTCTCAAGAAAGCTGGGGTCTCGGGCAAGTCTCCCCAGCGCCAGCCTGGTCCACCGTTACCCTGACACCCGCGCACGCCCGTGGCGTTTCTTTTTTCACTGTCGACACTTGGATCTTTCAGGCCCTGGGTCTAGGTTTCCCCCAGAAAAATGGAGGGGCCCATGTGAATGGAAACCACCAGACACACAGTGTGGAGACACATGCCAATGATTCACCTCGTTTCCGAACTAAAACTTCTGCGCTTTAGGAAAAAAGCAAGCGTTCCAATCGGCAAGGCCCTCCCCCACCCCGTCCCTTCCCAGGAGAAGAAAGGGCTTTGTGTGTGCGGTGAGAGCTCCGTTCATCGAGTTCATAAATGCACAGCGGCCGGGGGCCGGGAGGCGTGGGGCACCGGGCCCTGCCC